AGCTACTCAGGAGGCTGAGGCAGGAGAATCACTTGAAGCTGGGGGGCAGAGGTAGCAGTGAGCCGAGGTCGCACCACTGCACTCTAGCCTGGCAACAGAGCGAGACTCCATCTCAGAAAAAAAAAAAAAAAAATGAGGATACTTTGAGAGAAAGGAAGGGAGAGAGGAACATTTTTTAAAAGCCAGTCAAATTTAGCAGTGGGGGGTTGTATACTAACTTTAGTGACACTCATGTTAATAAGTTCTGTTAACCACTACCATTGCATCAGTAACATTTTTGAGAGCCTACGCTATGCTAAACCCTGTACTAGGTGAGTGTTTTTTGTTTTTGTTTTTCCGGGCTAGAATGCAGTGGTACAATCATAGCTCACTGCAGCCTGGACTTCCTGGGCTCAGGTGATCCTTCCACCTCAGACTCCCAAGTAGCTGGGATTACAGGTACATGCCACCACACCCAGCTAATTTTTTGTATTTTTGGTAGAGACTAATTTTTTGTATTTTTACTAGTTTCACCACGTTGCCCAGGCTGGTCTCCCAAAGTGCTGAGATTACAAGTGTGAGCCACCCCACCAGGCCCTAAACCCTGCACTAGGTGTTTTATGAGGCTGATTCCATTTAATGGAGCAAAGGGCCAAAGACTGAGTGTATATATCATGTTTAACAGAAAGAATGATAGAGATTGACTTGAGTCGGTCATTGAAAGGGGGCAGGGTTTAGGTAACAGAAACCGGAAAGGTTGGGCAAGGTGAACAGCATGAAGACCTTAAGGGCAAAAAGTTGTAGTGTTCAGGAGTAAAAAAAAAAAAAAAAAAACTGCAACAGAGGAATCATGTGGGGGAACACAAGGAAAAATAGAGACTGTGACCAAAGATTTTGGACTTTCTTCTCAAAGCATTGGGGAGCCATTGACGAAGTTGAATAGGGAATGATATGCAAATCACTGTTCTAGGAAAATTAACTTGGTTATCAGTGAGAAGGGATTAGAGGTAAGAGAGACTATATTGGTACAGTGAAGTCAAGATCAGAGTGGTGGCAATGGAACGGATAGGAAGAAATGAATTTTAAGAGATATTCCAAATAAAGAATAAAAAAGATTTGGTGACCAGATGACACCAAGTTTTAACCCCAGTTATCCAGAAAAAAAAAAAGAAAAAAGAAAAAAAAAACTATGGTACCTAGTGATACCACAGGTAGCACTAGCAGAAGAGGAGACTGTAAAATGTCGTACCTGGCTGGGCATGGTGGCTCACGCCTGTAATCCCAGCACTTTGGAAGCCAGGACGGGTGGATCACTTGAGGTCAGGAGTTTGAGACCAGCCTGGCCAACACGGTGAAACCTGCCTCTACTAAAAATACAAAAAATAGCTAGGCATGGTGGCAGGTGTGTGTAATCCAGCTACTCGGGAGGCTGAGGCAGGAGAATCGTTTGAACCTGGGAGGCGGAGGTTGCAGTGAGCCAAGATCGTGTCATGGCACTCCAGCCCAGACATGGTGAGACTCTGTCTCAAAAAAAAAGAAAAAAAAGAAAGAAAAAAGTGGGAGCAGAAGGACATGTTTACAGGAAAGAATAATTTGATTGGTGATTACTGGAAAACACACCAGACTGGAAACCAAGTTCTGTTCCACACATTGTGTTGGCCTGGACAAGTCTGCTAAGATTCTTTGTGTATCAAATGAGGAGGTCGAGTTGAACTGGATATACAAGAGACATTTCTTTTTTTTTTTTTGAGAGGGAGTCTCACTCTGTTACCCAGGTAGTGGCGAATCTTGGCTCACTGACACCTCTGCCTTCTAGGTTAAGCGATTCTGGTGCATCAGCCTCCTGAGTAGCTGGGATTACAGATTGCACCACCATACCTAGCTAATTTTTGTATTTTTAGTAGAGATGGGGTTTCGCCATGTTGGCCAAGCTGGTCTTGAACTCCTGACCTCAAGTGATCCACCTGCCTCAGGCATGGGATTACAGGTGTGAGCCACCGCACCAGCCAAGAGGCATGTCTTGGCTCTAAAACACTGAAAGTTTCAATAATGTTTAAGTATCAGCAATATGTAAATAAAACTGTCCAACAGAAATTTAAACACTCAGTATGCCATCTCAGGGGAAAAGTTGGGAGTAGAGATAAAGCTGTAGCAGTCTTCTAGGTTGAAGCAATAATTAAAGCCACGAAAGAATGTAATCAGAGAAAAGAGTCAAGGCCTGAGCCTAGGGGAACACCCACTTTGGAGTAGGTTCAAGTGGGGCCCTTACGAGGCTTAGACGTTGCTGCCAGATAGATAAGAGGAGGATTAGGATAGTGTGCTGTCATGCGATCTGAGGGCAGAGAGTTTCAGTAGGTACCATCAGGTGTCAAATGATACAGAGACCATAATGCACATAGCCTTTGTAAAGGGCTTCACTGTTGATTAGGTAGAAGTTAAATTATAATACTGGTTCTGTGTGCTCATTAGTGACTTTGGAGCGTGCAACAAAGTGAAAGCATCAGAAGCTAGGCTGCAAGGGGTTAAGGATTGAGTGGCAGAAAGGAACCAGAAAGAGTAGAATAGACTACATTGTCAAGAATTATGGAGAAAAGAAGAGGACAATCAGCCTTAAGAGATGTTCTCAAGGAGGAATAATATGATCATATTTGTGATCAAACTATTTCATTGCCACCACTCTGGTCTGATCCTACTTGTGATACTTGGACAAATAATTATTCTTGGGACAAACTGAAGTTACAAGATAAAGTGGGGATATGTGACACAGCAAAAGTTCCAGAGGTGAAGGTAATCAAAAGCACAAATGGATACGTTTGCCTTTAAAAGGAGGTCATATTCTCTAACAAATAAGGCGAGGCAATTATTCAGAGAACAGAAAACTTGAGAAATGAGGGAAAGACATGTAACTAGCTACAAGAAACACGCTAAAGAGTCAATAAGCAATGACTAAGTTGACAGAGAAGCCTGATGCCCTGCAAAGGATTAGGGTGGGAGAGGAAATGGTTTGGTGGAAAGTGAGACAAATTGGAAAAAGAGTAATATACAAAGAAGGGTAGTTACAGATCCATTCATGGACTTCATTTCTGCCTCCTTTTTTTTGGCCTCCTTCTAACACTGAGTTCTTCCTTAGTCTAGCATATATCTAGCACCTGCAGCTTTTTTTTTTTTTTTTTTTTTTT